ATAACCTGAATAATGTAAAGACAATAACTATAATTAAATCACCATTTTAAATTTTATAGTGTTTTTAATTGACATCTGTAGCTGCCTGGGTGTCTCCTAGCATGAATGTTTTTGTTTTTGCCTTGCTGCATTCTGAGGCCTCAAGTCTCCTAGTGATTATGTGGGGTCTGAATAAAGGGGAGCACTGAAGGAAGAACCACCTATTTCTTTTGTTATTTCGATATTCTTTCCCTTTGATGCAGCCTGAAAAGACGTGTGCCTGTCTTTGCACTTTCAGGTGCTGATGGTTTTCACAGACGCATTCTTTTGGTTCCTTTAATTGCCTACGGTGGTGATCCACTATAGAAAAGTTCATTGTTCACATTCTGTAAACATCTGTGATAAGAGTAGCGGTAGGGAGCGATCACTAATGCTGACCGGGAAGGAAGATATTTTTTTCTCACATCTTTTCTGTTGCAGAAATTTCAGATTAATGGTTGTGTCCCAAATACAGTTTGATTGTTTTATATGCTGCATCCATTTCTGCCTGTGGAGATGTATCCTGTCTGACGATCAGGATTACGATGTTGGAAACAAAATAGTTTGGCTAACATCACACCATATCAACTAGGAATAGAATTAATTGGCTTTGTTCCCATCTCTAAACACTAGAGCACCCTTCCTCACATTGAAAGGTGAAGGCAATTGCCTAGCCTGATTTTTTTTTTTAACTTGTGTCTTAAACATTTCCAGTGTTTCACCATTACAAAGCCACACAGCAGTGAGACACTGCAGTGACGGATGTTCTGTATAGATATCCTAGCCTGTTAGGAGCCCATCATTATCTTCAGAAACCCGTAACTTTTGAACTGTATAGTTATGGCAGGACCACACACACACAGTCCATTTTCCACTGCCTGCCCCTGTGTCAAAACACTAATATCATGGCTGTAAAGGGAAACAACATTTTCTCATGAACAAAAATAACCCGGAAACTTGAGTGAGGAAGCTGTTCTTATACATCACACCTTCTAAAATCCTCGCTGCTAGACAATATCCTTCAGTTAATGAGGCAGCATATCCTAAACGATTGTGCATGGAATATGAAGTTGGAAGCATTTGATTCTAATCTTGTCTCTAATGCTTGCTGTATGTCCTTAGGCAGGTCAAGAATATCTAAATTTTCCCAAGTTTTCTCTGACTTTTAGGGTGCTTCAGTTTTTTTGGTGCTCAACTGGTGTCTCTAGCAGCCTGGTTTTTCAGAGGTATTAAAGGAGAAAAGGGGCAGATAGACTGCAGGGCCGGCTCCAGGCATCAGCCCAGCAAGCAGGTGCTTGGGGCAGCCAACGGAAAGGGGTGGCAGGTCCAGCTCTTCGGCAGCGAGTCCCTCAGTCCTTCTCGGAGGAAAGGACCTGCTACCGAATTGCCGCCGCAGAATAAAGTGGCGGCGGTGAGGTGCCGCCGATCGCGGCTTTTGCTTTTTTCCCCCCACCACTTGGGGCAGCAAAAACGCTGGAGCCGGCCCTGGTAGACCGAGATGAATTACTACAGGGTGGCAAGTGGCTAAGGCCAGCACAAGGTCTGGTAATAAGCCGTGAAGATCTGGAACTAGAAATAAGTATCTCTAAATGTAGAAGCATAGGTGCCTGAACTAGGGATGCTGCTACACCCTCCGGTTTGAAGTGGTTTCCATTATATACAGAGTTTACCATTTGGTTCAATTAGTCTCAACACCCCCACTATACAAATTGTTCCAGCACCCTTCCGTAGAAACCTTCATTAAAACTACGTGTGGTGGCAGGAGCAGCAAATGTATTCGTTCACTTATGAAAATCAATGATTGGCTACTAGTCGGCACAAAGCATGAACACTCAGGTGAGATCCCTCCACACAGTGCTCAGCTAGTGTGCCCAAATCCTTCCTGCCCCTTCTGAGAGTAAAAAGAGTCTCTCTTCCTGTGCATGCTCACTTTTTCTACCTCTCCCCCTGCCCCTTTAAATTTAAAAGAAAGGAGGTATGGTTGTATCATGTGGCTCTTCAGAAGTAAAGATGCTCCAGTTACCAACATCATTTGGAGTGATCTCCGCTTTTTAGGGATCCATCTCAGGGGAAATGTGTGGAGTTCTCAGCTTGTTACTAATGGCTTTCAAACTCCTGCAGTTTCATATCCAGTTTAATAAAGCCCTTGGATGATTGGCAAGACTTCCACCTCCCATGTCTCAACATCCTCTTCACTTTCCTGACAGGTCTCCAGGCACACAAGACTGCTTGGTTACAGTGCGAAATTGTCTACCTCCCCCTTTCCCGGAGAGGCTAGCAGCACTTGTTAACTTAAATAGGAATTGTACCAAATGCCTTGGTAAATAGTAACTAAATGAACAGAGATCGCAGATTGGAGGTAAGGGTGGAGGGGATTAGTCAAAAGACAGTTCAGGATGAGACCACACTGAACCTAAACCCCATCAGTGTGTTACGTGGTGCTGTGCTGGGAGAGGCATCATCTTTTGAGTGAGAAATTCTGTTTAGGGCCTGGCCATTTGTCATTTTAAAATTCTGTAGTCCCTTCTGCATAGTTGCTTTTAGATCCCAGTGGCTTCACTACATTCCCGTCTAGGTAATTGTTTTGCCTGCCTGTATCTCCCATGATAGTTTCAGCTGGGTATAAATTTTTTTCATTTCCCCCCGCAAATCGCACTCTCAGTTGTGTTGCTGTATCCTGGTGACTAGTTACCAGCTTTCACCTCAGAAATAGCTGCTGTTATTAAATGGAAAGTGTTAAATGTGTTTTCTAGGGAAAGTGTTACATAATGGCTGGAGCAGGAAACTAGGTGTCAGTTCTAAAGTTCTGCGGAGGACTGTGTGTGTTCCTGGACAAGCCACTTAAACCTCTCTGTGCCTCCGTTTATTCCTCTTTAAAATGAGGATAAAGTTTCCCTCACAATGTGGGGATTGAGGCTTCATTGTTTGTAAAGAGTCCAGCAACCAGTCATTGAATAAGCTATGCAAGTGCCAAGAATGATTATAAAAAACAGAATACAATAGCAATTACTATACGAGAGATTTGAAATTCTAAACCATAGTTGCATGCTGTAAATCACCTAGTTTTAGTGTCCTATTTTTAAAGTGCACACGTGTGTATTTTAATATATATGAAATGTTCATTTCTGAAGTAGTTATTGCGCCATTGTTAATGGTTACAAATTTTGCAGTGAGACGTGTCTCACCGACCATTAGTATGTTCTCTGCTCTTACATTAGCAGAAGAGGAGATGCTTTGTTTGTTGTTCTTCACTTCATAACAAATTCTAGACGGCGTTTTCCCCCCTTTATTTCTCTCTCTCTTTCTTTCTAAAACTATTTTGTTTTCCTTATGACTGTTTTTGTTTTTATTTAAAAAAAAAAGTAGTAGTCTTTCTGTGGTTTGAAATTGAGAGACGGCAAAATTTGTGGGTAAAATATTTTAAATTATGCTCTAATATTAAGAAGTTGCAGATGAAAATTATATGTATTTCACTAATTTTCTCTCCTGCATTCGTACATGTGCACTCTTGTAGCATTGATTGAGGGATGATTAATTAAAACTTTAAAATACCATACAATTTTGAGAAATACCTATTCAAAAATGTGTGTGTGTGTGTGTGTGTATACATAGTATACTTACCACCTAATGCATCTCAATCATTCACTCATTCATCCCTCAATCTTTGTGTAAAATACAACTATACACTCTCACATTCACTTTTTAAAGTGGTCAAAGCTATGCTGTAAACATAAATAGGCAACACCAAGTGAAAATTATTCTTACACATGCATCTTTACCTCAAGCTGAGTCTGTAGAAAGAATAATGAATGAACTTCATTAGGACTTTATATTACCTCTGTCGCTGTGGTATTCATCTCATAAATGGTACTTATATGACCACTTCTCCCTTCAACCAATAATTAACCTCTGCTGCGGCCTCTATGAATGTTCTAGATCCATGGGCACTTTCAAATAGCCACCATTTAAAAAGAAAAAAAATTTCCAGAGGAATGTTTCCTATAATCACTCCAAACTTGCACTGGTCTGAGGTACAGAAATATACAGTTCTATACCCATGACATATTTAAGGTGTGATAACATGTGACTCATTAGGGCTAGAAATGTGGGAAAGGGAGATTCCTAACAGTCCAGTGGGGATATACAGCAGTTCATTTATTATATAGTATCTATTATAATTTTTTACAGCATGTATCCATAGCATTAGGTGCCTAGTACTGGCTCTGGAAGGTCCTGTTATATTGGACATTAAAATCACGATATTAATGTGTATTTGGGAAAAAAAAGTGTGAGATTCTAAAACATTACTTTCAATATTTTTCCTCTTTCTCTGAGAAATTTCCCAGTAGTGTGGGATTTAGGATATTAAAGTAGCCTGGTTTTACAGATGGAGGAACACAAAAAAATAGCCTCACCCAGTCAATATGTATTTCTAAAATAGCTGACTATAAACGTGGTACATGAAGAATGTATGTTGGAATGGTGAGATGTTACTCTAATAACTCACTAAAGGCTTTGGCAATAGGGCATAGGAGTAGACTAGACCAAGTGTCTGAGTGCCTCCCAAGCATTTAAAAAGAGAGAACAGTAGCACTGGTGAAGTGCGGTGGTGTTCCCAAACTCATTCTCATAAACGTCCATACTGCACCCTCATGTTCTCATTCGCTGTGCAGGGAGGATGTGCAGTGGTTAGGGCATTAGCTTAGGACGTGAGAGAACTGGGTTTAGTTACTGCCCCACCTCCGTTCTCTTGGGCAGGACATTTAGTCTCTCTGTGCCTCAGTTCCCCATCTGCAGAACAGCGATAATAACACCTTTTTCCTACCTCACGGGGGTGTTCTGAGGACAAATTCATTAAAGATAGCCAGGTGCTCAGCTACTATAGCAAGTTGGGCCATAAGTACTATAGATAATGCACACTGAGAGATCCACGGATGCCTGCCTCCTTTAAAGCCTTTTCATTTCTTTCACTTGTTGCACAGATCCAGTCCATGGACCGCAGAGTATGGAAGTTGTTGACATCCGCTCCCGGCAGCTGACCTTGCAATGGGAGCCCTTTGGTTACGCGGTGACCCGTTGCCACAGCTACAACCTAACAGTCCAGTACCAGTACGTGTTTAACCAGCAGAAGTACGAAGCAGAGGAACTCATCCAGACAGCCTCACATTATACCTTGCGAGGCCTTCGGCCCTTCATGACCATCCGGTTGAGACTAGCACTTTCTAATCCAGAGGGCAAAATGGAAAGCGAGGAGCTGGTGGTACAGACTGAAGAGGATGGTAAGAAAATGTTTTGGTTTTTATTTTAATATTTATTTTTTCGTGGTGCAAAGTTCTAAGTAACTGTTGGGGGGGGGGGAAATGACTTGATAAAAATGGCATTGTGGGCTTGGAGGTGGTGTCTCATCAGTTCCGTATCAGATTTCCTTGGGCTGCAATCAAAATAGGGATTATATATATTTACCTACTTTTCATGGCATGGATAATGTTTGTAAAGCACTGTGAAGCTGCAAGTAATATTCATGTCTGCCAGTCAGCAGCAAAGGACCCAGTTCTGGGAAGTGTTAGGTGCTAAACTCCCAGTGCGCCCCCCCCCCACCCCCGAGACAAACTTCTCCAGTCCCATGGCTTATTTTATTTATTGTAGGGGAAGCTGGTTAATCTAATAGCTCAAACAGTATAAATGCGTGCTGCAGTGCCAAAGACTCAGCGTTCAAACCTCGCTGATACCTGCGCTTGTTACGAGTTTATATAACAGAATTTTACTGTCTTCCCTTAACAAAAAACAAAAACAAATCCAATCACCCTAGGAAATTACATACCAAATGTGATAAAGAACATTATTTAGGTTATAGAGTCAGGCATTCAAGTTAATAAATTTGAGATTTATGGTTGCGTGTCCAACCTTAATTCTGCCACTTTGTGCATATGCCTTATAATGCAACCTTTAATTAGAGAATCACACGCTGTCTTTTCCACAGGGGTCTGCCCTTATTCAGTGCGCAGGTTGGCGGCGTAAGGGACCAGAATGAAGGTTCCATAGGCAACTGCAATTCTGACACTTGCAAACTTTTGAGTGCTTAACTTTCCAACCTAAAATTTTAATATAGCTTTCTGTACATAATTTAATTTTCAGAATGCACCTTTCCCCATAATTCTGGACATTCCAGGTCACACGGTGTCCTAACATATCATGTACACCTATTATGCTAAATTAATGAGGGCAGAATCTGCCACTCCTGTTCCATAAGAAGTGCTTTGAGGATGTATTATTATTTATTGATATTTGTATTATTGTGTCGCTTAGGTAGAGTGACCAGATGTCCCCATTTTATAGGGACAGTCCCGATATTCGGGACTTTTCCTTATATAGGTGCCTATTACCATCACACACACCCCTTCATCCAAATTTTTCACACTTGGTATCTGGTCACCCTATGCTTAGGCATCCCAGGACCCCAATGTGTGAGGCTCTGTACAAACACAGAACAAAAAAGACAAGAAACAAGATACAAGAAAACGATGAGACAGTATTGGTCAGCATGGTAAGCAGTGGTCTCAGCACACCAGCAGTCAATCATTGTCTAGTTTTTTTTGTAGACCTCAGACAAAGGAGAATTTGAAGGAGGATAATGTTGTAGTGTTGTGGTTGTTTACAGGGAGCTTCTTCCAAGCATGAGGGGCAGCATGGGAGAAAACACAAAGGTGCTTGTTTTGAACATTTAATGTGGGCAACGGAGACTGAAATCATGGGCCAATCAGAGGCAGGAGTAGGATTACCAGGTGACCATTTTTCGTCTGGAACACCTACTTGAAAAGGAACCCTGGCAGCTCCGGTCAGCACCGCTGACTGGGCCATTAAAGTCCGCTCGGTAGCGCAGCAAGGTTAAGGCAGGGTCCCTGCCTGTTGTGGCTCTGTGCAGCTTCCGGAAGCAGCAGCATGTCCCCCCTTCTGCTCGTAGGCATAGGGGCAGCCAGGGAGCTCTGCGTGCTGCCCCCACCCCAAGCACCAGCTCCGCCGCTCCCATTGGCTGGGAACCGCAGCCAATGGAAGCTGCAGGGGTGGCGCCTGCAGATGGGGACATCTGCGTAGAACCGGTATGGGGACATGCTGCTGCTTCCGGGAGCTGCTTGAGGTAAGCGCCACCCAGAGCCTGCACCCCTGACCCCCCTCCTGTGCCCCAACCCCCTGCCACAGCCCTGATCCCCCTCCCACCCTCTGAACCCCTTGATCCCAGTCTGGAGCACCCTCCCACACCCCAAACCCGTCATCCCTGGCCCCTCGCCACAGCTCAACCTCCAGCCAGAGCACTCACCCTTCCCCCGCACCCCAACCTCCTGCCCCAGCCCAGAGCCCTTCCTGTACCCTGAACCCCTCATTTCTGGCCCCAGCCCAGTACCCATACCCCCTGCCTCAGCCCAGAACCCCCTCCCATACTTCGAACCCCTTGGCTTCACCCCCCAGCCCAGAGCCCCCCCTGTACCTCAAACCCATCATCCCCAGCCCCACCCCAGAGCCCGTACCCTCAGCCGGAGCCCTCACCCTCTCCCACATCCCAACCCACTGCCTCCGCCCGGAGCCCCCTCCTGCACCCTTAATTCCTCATTTCTAGCCTCACCCCGGAGCCCTAACCCCTTCCTGCACCCAATCCCCCTGAGCCAGCCTGGTGAAAATGAGTGAGCGACAGAGGGAGGGGGGATGGAGTGAGTGAGGATGGGGCCTCGGAGGAGGGGTGGGGCAAGCGTGTTCGGTTTTGTGTGAGTAGAAAGTTGGCAACCCTAGGCAGGTCAACTTTTCAATACTGAATGAGTGATGATAGGTTATGAAGGGCCTTGAAAGTGAAAACAAGCAGCTTATATTTGATACAATAGAAGAGAGAGACTCATATAATTTAAGGCCAGAAAGGACCATCATGATCATCTATTCTGATCTCCTGCACGTTGCAGGCCATAGAATTGTCGCTTAATTACTGAAGGCCTCAAATCATGATTTAAAGGCTTTAAATTACAGAGAATCCACCATAAGAGATGGTGCCAGTAAACGGATTCAAAAAGAAGGATGACATGTCCAAGCGATAGGCTAGGAAAATTATCACGAAATTATTAAGCCTGTCACAGTTCAGGGTATCAGCACCTGTACTTCCCCTCAGTGGTCAAGCAAGGGCACCCACCCTGAGGCTTCTGGATCCCTGGGTCATCGCCTCTCTTATGCGGAGAGACGTGTCTCTCTCCTTTGTGACCAGACTGAACAGTTCCCTGCCTTCATTATGTTATTCCCAGCAAAAGATAGACTGCCTAAGCAGACCTGCTTGCTTTCTCTTCATAGACTAACAGTGTAAATCCTCACAGGTAAGCTACTACACAGCTTTTTCTGGGCAAGCACATTTACTCTTAGGTTAAAAGCGTCACAGAGAAAACAATAAAAGAACCTACCTGCATGCTAATAAGCTTATCGGAGATCACCCCCAAATCTACTATGGTGATTAGTCCTTTCAAACCCTACAGAGGGATCTCTGTTGTGGTCACAAGTTCATAAGAGCCTGAGTTCAGAACTCATGAAAAGTTTAGTCCCTCCTTTATACAGTGGAAGGTGTTCTTTGATCTGGAGTTTCCAGGAACAGGTGATCAGTAGGCAATGGGTTTTCCAGGCATCACTTCAAAAGGCCTCACAAGGACCTCCTAGGAAACCCACTTCACACATTGTCCCAAACAGTTCTTTAAAGTTCCAAGCATTTCCGCAAGCTTTCCATTAATCAGTCTCCCTGAAAAGTTATACCCAATTCTACAGTGCCACATAAACAATTGTATTTTTACTACAGTGGATCCCAAAGGTATTAAACAATAAGGTTTAACTTAATTCAGTAGGGTTTGTCCAGGATATTGCAGGAAATTTCCCTCTATCACAAAGCCACGTTAGCTGAGACTCAAACTAAGAGTCCTTATGGGCTGCAAGCATCCACTCTATCTAATGGGATATAAGGACGCATCTTTCCCTTGCCTGAGCTATTAGGCACTGCTGAGCTAAATTTCTCTGCGATGGAAGTGGCTCTGGCATTATAGTATATCACACAGGGAAGTCCAGGAGATGGCGGACCTTTCTATTAATTCAGGGAAATGATCAGAGTTTTTGTCAGACAGGACTGGGAGTGCATTTGGTTAGTTATCTTTCACAGCATTAGAGTTTTGCTTGAGTAGGTGGATTTTTAGTGGCTTTGTAATCATAATGAAAGATAAATCTTAAATTGTTACTCTGCTGGGGAAATCAGCCTTTCATATTGATAAAGGTGAACAGCCCTGGAGCAGCTCTATGCCGGGGTGCAATCTACCTATCTGTGTAGATAGAGTTTTAGTGTTGTGTGGGTGAAAGAGGAGGGTACATTAAATTCTCCACTGGATTTTATTATTCCTTGATGTTGTAACCAAAATGTTAGAACATTGGTGCTATTTAACTTATTCCTCTCCTCTTTTTCCTTGTAGGGTTCTATATAGGGTACATTTCCCTGCACAGACTTGTTAATTCACCATATTTGATGGAACAGTGATAAATGCACAAGACCTACACTAAAGGAAAATACAAACACCTGTACTGCAGACTGGTAACCTTAAGGAGAGAATATAATGGGCCCATAAAAATGAGGGTCTGGTGCCTCTGCCATTTTTTTCTGCAGTGTCTGTGCTAGCCACTTCATGTAGCATCCTAAGATATTGTGCATTCCATCTCTATTGCTCCTGGACAGAGATTATGAGCTGTGGTGATGGTCAGTAGGTCTGGGAGATCAGTGGATCTTTGAAAAGGTATTGGGAGAAGGGGAGGTTACATGAGGAAAACAATTTCTGATGAACACCATGCAAGTGTTCTATCTTCTCTAATTCTTCCAGGCCCCCCTTCCAAGGGCAAAATAGTTTTGTTTTCCTAAAAGGGAAAACCCTGCTTTCTCCCCTGAATGTGGAGCTCATCAAATGCATTGGAACCAGGGTTGTTCTGCTGCACAGGCAGCAAGAGTTATTGAAGCCATACAGGGGTATATATCTCCTGGATGGAGCACAGTTTCGTGAGTCAGATCTCTGTGCTGTCCTACAAGGATTTGGAGGTGTGGGGAAGAAACAGGGGAAGCATTGGAGGAGGTGTGATAGATCCATCACTGTGCAGTTGCACTAGTCATTGCCTCATACGATAAAGAGGTATAGCTACTGTGGGAGCTATTGCAACCTCAGAGCTTCAGTGGGAACTGTGGAGTGGTTTGGCGTAGCTGTTCTATGACACCAAAGGGTGTTTTTTGGGCAGTGCACTGATCTCCAGGAATGTAACCAAAGTGCACAAATGGAGAATCCAAGGGTCTATGCATGTGTCTTATTTGTGTCTGAGCCATAATCCTATATAATATGTGGTAAACTCTGGACCTCATATGTACTCTTACAGCTGCATACTCTCACAGCTATATGTCAGAACAGAACTTGGCCCTAAACGTCTTCAGTTCACCACCTCATTTCTGGAGACCAAGTGCCTCTTATGCCCACTGAACACTTTGTAATCTTGAGGAGACAATCCTTTCTCCTATAAGTCCATCTGTACTTTTGCCTGTCTACGGTTTATGCAAGATACTAACACTCTTTTGTGTCTGTTAGCCTCAAGCATGCTGAACCAACTTGTCCAGAGATGGCACACTTATTTCAAAGTTCCTTGTTCGAGGTTTTCAGGAGAACTTGCAATATTCCTTTATTCTTTTTTCCACTTAGTAAAATGGAGCTCTTGTGAGGTTCTTTCCATCAGTCAATGTTTACTCAGATAGTACTATTTTTAAAGATTTTTCCGTGTCCCCTGCTCTCCCTCCCACTGAATGTTAGTAAAACATCTGGTCTAGGGGAGTCTAATCTCTCAAACACGTCAACCCCGCCTCCACCAGTATGCCCACTTAAACGAGCCAAAATGTGATCAAACCAAAGTGGAGGTGTCATAGCCTTTCATGTGATACTGCCGAGAGAGAAGTGTGGTGTGAGCAAGCTGGTGACCAGATACTACAGTTGTCCGTCTCCCACCAGTTGGTTGGACAAACTGTACAGCTTCTCAATCTGACCAGCTTAATAGGAAGTTACATCTCACATTTGGATGCGGTTATTGCTACTTAGGTGTTGTGACAGACCCAGACCAATGGGGTACAGGAGTCTGGTAGAGGGCAAATATACTGGTCACTGGATGAGTAGTTTTCTGTTCCCTGAGTGACCAGAGCAGGGGCTGCACTAGAGTAATCAGGAACCTGTGAGAACCAGTTAAGGCAGGCAGGCTAATTAGGACACCTGGAGCCAATTAAGAAGAAGCTGTTAGAATCAATTAAGGCAGGCTAATCAGGGCACCTGGGTTTTAAAAGGAGCTCACTTCAGTTTGTGGCGTGAGTGTGAGGAGCTGGGAGCAAGAGGCGCAAGGAGCTGAGAGTGAGAGGGTGTGCTGCTGGAGGACTGAGGAACACAAGCGTTATCAGACACCAGGAGGAAGGTCCTGTGGTGAGAATAAGGAAGGTGTTTGGAGGAGGCCATGGGGAGGTAGCCCAGGGAGTTGTAGCTGTCATGCAGCTGTTACAGGAGGCACTATAGACAGCTGTAGTCCACAGGGCCCTGGGCTGGAACCCGGAGTAGAGGGCGGGCCCAGGTTCCCCCCAAACCTCCCAATTGACCTGGACTGTGGGTTCTTCCAGAGAGGAAGGTCTCTGGGCTGTTCCCCAACCCACATGGTGAATCTCTGAGGTAAGAAAAATCCGTCAATAAGCGCAGGACCCACCAAGATAGAGGAGGAACTTTGTCACAGTGTGTAATGCAGGAACTCATGTGCCTGCATACCAAGTTGAGCGTCCAGGTGTGGGATTTGGACATACAACTGAAGTGGCCATGGCTAACAATTGGCCTTCCTTTGTTTACCCTCTTTACGACATCTTATACTTAAATCATGACCCTACTAGTTAATAGGCTGCAGCTTTGCAATGTGAGCCAAATGGGAATCTCTCTCTCTCTTACTCTTGAATACGGCAAATCTTAATCTTCCTTCTGGGGAATCTTCACCACAGCAGAAAGGAGTGGCTCTTGAATGTGTTCTCCATTGTCTGGCTGTCATCGGTAGCTGCATTACTTGTGCACCAAGCTGAAGACAGTTTAATTTTTTCTGAAGCCAGAGCTGATCCTTAAATACTGACTGTAGCAAAAAACAAAACAAAATGAAAACACTTCCTGTTGCTGATACATAAACAAAGATGTCCATCCGTTAAAGAAGAGAAAGATACAGCTGTGCAATATCAGTCCTTCATACTGGGTATTTCCTTCCATCATAGCTTCACTCAGTGATTGGCAAGTGCCTGGTTTAATTATACGTCAATGTCCAAAAGACAAAGAAGATTGTAGCAGTTAGCATTCTGCCTGTAAATACATTTTAAGAATAAAATTATGAAGTGAATAACTTTATTCCTAGAACTCAACCAGAAAGTGCACACAGCAAAAGGGGAAGAAAAGGAACCCATTAAAGAATTGTTTGTGATGATGATGGAAGATTACCTCAGACAGGAAACAGGAGATAAGATAGGGAATAAAATTATCCAAAAGGCTGGGAAGAAAAGAAGAAAATTTGGCTTAGCTCATTTATTTACATCTTAAAGGAGGTCTTCATGGCTCAATCCCTAGTTATTTTAGGTTGGTTTTGCTTGTACACAAAACCGAAGTCTTATGCTATTTTAAACTCAGTGGCATACCAAAACAAATAAAGCATGAATCCTGTTATATCTGATGCTTTAAACACAAATCCATTACACTTTTGAGACAAATGACTCCTACAGAGTACTTAAGCAAATCTTATATAAACAAATATTTACTGGCACTGTCATCTAAGGTTTAAGACACTGTGCTGTTGAAGTAAAGCTTGAAAGGTTAGATCAGTATGTGTTGACCCAGCAACAACAGTAGGGGTGTTTATTGTTGTGCCTCCTGAATTATGGGTCACCTAGTCCAGTAAGCAGAGTACCAAACTGTGTTTTGTTCTCAGCTCCATCACTGATTTTCTATGTGACTTAAAGTTATTCAGCTTCCAATTCTGCAGTGGATCCATGTGAGCACTATTGAGATCTAAGCATGTTTGTGCCTCAGTTACCACTTCTGTGAAGTGGGGATAATATTATTTAATCATGTCCGTAGAGAGGACTTTGGTGAAAGTACTTTAAGAGCTAAATATTACTACAGTAGAACCTCAGAGTTACGAACACCAGAGTTACAAACTGACCAGTCAACCACGTATTTCATTTGGAAACAGAAGTACTACACCAGGGTGGGCAAACCACAGCACTCGGGCCGGATCCGGCACCTCAGGGCTTTGGATCCGGCCCGCGGGATTGCCCCCTGTGGTGCCACGGGCCCCGCAACGCTCTCACAAGCGGCCGGCACCACATCCTTGTGGCCCCGCTACTTGCGCTGCCCTTGCCTCCAGGCCCCGCTCCCCGCAGCTCCCATTGGCCGGGAACAGGGAACTGTGGCCAATGGGAGCTTTGTGGGAGGTACCTGGAGGCGCGGCAAGGGCAGCGCACGTGGAGTCCTCCGCCCCCTCTCCCCAGAGGCCGCAGCGCTTCCGAGAGCAGCGCAGGGCTGGGGACAGGGTAGGCATACAGGGAGCCTGCCCTGACCCTGGTGCATGCCGCTGCCATCCTGGAGCCGTTTTAGGTAAGCAGCGCCGGGCTGGAGCCCGAACCCTTCCTGCCCCCTGCCCCCCAACTCCCTCCCCTAAGCCCTCTGCCTGCACATCGCACCTCAACTCCCTGCCTTGAGCCCCCTTGTACACCCCGCACCCCAAGCCCCTGCCCTGAGCCCCCTACTGCCCCCTGAGCCCCCTGCCGCAGTCTGCAGCCCTCCTGCACCCCAACCCCCTTCCAAGCCCCCCATACACCCCACACCCCTTCCCACACCCTGCACTCCCTCCCGTACCCCAACCCCCTGCCCTGGCCCTGCATACAATTTCCCCACCCAGATGTGGCCCTCGGCCCAAAAAGTTTGCCCACCCCTGTACCACACAATCAGGAAGCAGCAGAGACAAACAAAACAAATAAACACAGTACAGTACTGTGTTAAACGTAAACTACTACAAAAATAAAGGGAAAGCAGCATTTTTATTCCACATAGTAAAGTTTCAAAGCTGTATTAAATCAATGTTCAGTTGTAAACTTTTGAAAGAACCATAACATTTTGTTGAGAGTTATGAACATTTCAGAGTTACGAACAACCTCTGAGGTATTTGTAACTCTGAGGTTCTATGTACTATGACTGTATGACACAAGTTGCTATATTTGAGGCTATGTTAAATCATGCACACTTGTTCAATTTATTTTTATTTAGGGAATGTATTTGTATTGTTTTAATATTTAAAAGAAATGAGGTAACTTGGAAAATAAAATATACACATTTAATAACAAAATGAAATATCTATAGATACCTGGATACGTGATAAATGGTACAATTATAAATGCATAATTTCTTGGCAATAGAAGTAGGCAATTTCTTGCATGATCATGTTGGGGATATGGAAACCTGGGGTGTGTGCAGATATACAAACAAAGCACTAGCTGGTAATACATTAAGTTGCTATTTGTATCTTCTATAACCTCTGATTCTGTGATAAATACTCTCAATAAGTTGCCTCTGTCATGCTGATGAAGCTAGGTATGGTGGATCACTGAAACATTGGAAGATAGCAGCGACTTTTCATTAGAGTGTGTTTGTTGTTAATATTCAGTACGTGAGTTTTCATGTTTGGACCCCAAGGTCAAGAATGGACCAATAGTAATGGTTATTGGTTATAAATGGTTATAAAATACTAATACCTTTTTAAATGTTCCCGTTTGGCCCAGAGTGTATGTTTTCTCAGCTCTAGAGCACCATTGCTGGAAGACTTCAGCCTCTCTGGGATACACATGAGACTGTTGTGGAGAGTTACTGACTTTCCACTCTTTTCCTTTATAGTTCCTGGACCTGTTCCCCTAGAATCTATCCAAGGAGGACCCTTTGAAGAAAAGATCTATGTTCAGTGGAAGCCTCCAAATGAGACCAATGGTATCATTACACTCTATGAGGTAAGGAGAACAGATTGCTGTGAAAGAGTATCTACCAGAGGACCTGTTCCATGTGAGCGCAAGTGTATTGGTCAGCATAGCCATGATGTTTCAGAGATTTCAGTAGGTGTTTAAAGGAGACTTAAATAAAATAAAAAGAAGAACAGGAGTACTTGTGGCACCTTAGAGACTAACAAATTTATTAGAGCATAAGCTTTTGTGGACTACAGCCCACTTCTTTGGATGCATATAGAATGGAACATATATTGAGGAGATATATATACACACATACAGAGAGCATAAACAGGTGGGAGTTGTCTTACCAACTCTGAGAGGCCAATTAATTAAGAGAAAAAAAAACTTTTGAGGTGATAATCAAGCTAGCCCAGTACAGACAGTTTGATAAGAAGTGTGAGAATACTTACAAGGGGAGATAGAGTCAATGTTTGTAATGGCTCAGCCATTCCCAGTCCTTATTCAAACCGGAGTTGATTGTGTCTAGTTTGCATATCAATTCTAGCTCAGCAGTCTCTCATTGGAGTCTGTTTTTGAAGTTTTTCTGTTGTAATATAGCCACCCGCAGCTTTGCCCAGGGCTGAGTGGGACAGAGTTTGGGTGCAGGCTCCGGGCTGG